AGCAGGAACGAGAACAAACAACTTAAAACTAACATTATCCTGCGTTATCGGACTCGAAGCAGCAGAGCGGCGAGGAGATTTCCACTTCATCGGGGTAGAGATCGGACTTCCCCGCAGTGCCTCCGCCGAGAACTCCGTCGCCGATTTCGATCTCAACTTCCGCTTCCGAGGCTTGTCATCCCCGGCGGATTCGATTTTCTCCGATCTTGCGCCCAAGTTATACTTGTAAGGAGACGAATTCGGACCCGCGATGGTAGGCATTGTAGATGAAAATAATGGAATCCGATAAGAAATGGTGAGAGAATTTGAGATCTAATCGAACGGGCGGATGGATCATAGGGTTGCTACTGGTTTTTAAGGAATTGGGGAGAGAGAGAGAGAGAGACAAAAAAATGGAAATAGCGGGAAAATGTAAAACGCAACATTTCATTAAGACTGGCTTTACACATCGTGAGGCCCACAAAGCTTGATCCTATTGGATCCATATTTGTTCCTTTATCGGCCCATATAGGCCCAAATCCGACGAAAAGACAAAAACATCCTAAGATAATACGATGAATATATTTATATTTATTCATTCGACTATTACATGTAACATTTGCACTCGCAGGACAAAGAACAATACAATGTTTGCTAAAATAATTAATACATTCTTTCACGTTCATCATTTTTTATTTTTATTTTATAAAATTAGAGTATTATTGATAAGTTTCATTTCAAATAATGGTGTCTCCGACGAAGTCATGATACAGTGAGTTCGCGGGTTATGTGGTGTTCGTAGCTAATGTGCGCTCGTGTCTGTCCAGAGTTAAGTGTTGTTATTAGATTCTTTACAACCTTCTGAACGACTTAATGTTTGGAGCTTGGCTTATTCTTTCCGCGGATGGGATAGAGATAGGCTTGTGTCCAAACAAGGTGCAAACCCTCACCAGCACGGTGACAGCACCTTAGCTACGCAACGGATAGGCTCTTAACCAGTGGATGACCCTCTCACCTTCACCTTCTTCTTCTTCTTCGTCTTCGTCTCCGTCTCCGTCTCTGCTTCTTAGGTTGGGGGAACAATGGCTTCCTCTGCGACGGCGCCTAATTCTCTCTCCTTCTCATCTTCTCTCTTCTTCTCTTCCTCAAACCAAATCCCTAGAGCTTACATTTCCGTCGCCAAATTCGGCTCCGTCAGAGTGTCGAAGCCGCTCACCGTCGTATCCCAGCTTGCAACCCTACCAATCCTCTCCTTTGACGGGGAAAAGATCGGCGAGACGTACCTCGACCTCAAAACGGCGCCGCAGGATACCGCACGTGCCGTCGTGCACCGCGCCATTGTCACGGACCTGCAGAACAAACGCCGAGGGACGGCGTCGACTCTGACTCGCGGCGAAGTTCGCGGTGGTGGGATAAAGCCCTACGCGCAGAAGAAAACGGGTCGGGCGAGGCGTGGTTCCCAGAGGACGCCGCTGCGACCAGGCGGAGGTGTGATATTCGGGCCGAAGCCGAGGGACTGGTCCATCAAAATCAACAGGAAGGAGAAGAGGCTAGCGATATCGACGGCGATATCGAGCGCGGCGGCAACGGAGGGTGCGATAGTGGTGGAGGAGTTCGGGGAGAGGTTCGAGAAGCCGAAGACGAAGGATTTCATCGCGGCGATGAAGAGGTGGGGATTAGATCCGAAGCAGAAGGCGATGTTCCTGATGACGGAAGTGGAGGAGAACGTAGAGAAATCAGGTCGGAACATCGGGACGTTGCGGATGCTGACGCCGAGGACGCTGAATCTGTTCGACATTTTGAATTCGGACAAGTTGGTGCTGACTCCGGCGGCCGTGGACTATCTGAACGCGAGGTACGGTGAGGATTCAGTTGAGAGCGACGACGAGGAAGATGCTGATGAAGAAGAAGAAGAAGAAGGTTAGTGTTCTGAACCAAGTATACTTCTTGACGTGATCTTCGTCTACCCTTTTGTTCCTTCCCCCCACCCAATGTTCATCACCAATTTCTGAATCATTCATGTGCATTGATTGCACAAAGTTTCTGGTTTTTTACGTTGTTAGGGTATCAGAATTGAGGAACAAAGTTACAATCTTTATAGGGTGTGTTAGAATTGAGGAATAAAGTTACAATCTTTATTGGGTTAAGCATGAAATCTCTGTGTATGTGATGTGAATAGGGGTCGAGGAAGAGGAGAGAACTGACACTGCGGAATGAAAGAGAGAAACCACTGTCCATCCTTTTGCTTCTGAGCTGCTCGATGACGTGGTGGTTTGTTTCCTCTGTTGTATTGTATCCCTTCCTTTTTGGTGATATATATGAACAGAAAATTTTAATGTCTCTGCAATGGCGGCATATTTTGTAGAATCCTACTCATGATCATTTTGGAAGATTCATGATCAAGTCATGCTCTCGTATCCCAACTTTCAAGCTTCCCCAGCTAAAAAAATGTTCATGATAATGAATAGGGATGTCAAAAAAATGTTCACAAATCAAGCCCCGTTCGTTCTTCGGGCCGGTCCGGCCCGACCCGGAAAATTACGTATATATATTCGCACATATTTAATCATATATATATATATATTTATTCAATCTTTTATATAT